CGAACTTGAAAAGAGTTTTGCCTGAAACTGTGAAACCTAAAAGCATTCAGTATGGTTTCTTTGTCTTGAAGAATACTAGAGTTCTGAGATATATAACTCTAATATAATTGAGCTATATACAAGATAAATCATCGAGAAATAAGAGAATTCTTGTTCAAATCTATGGTATTTGTTGTACTCATAAATGACTGCAAAACTGTCAATATTAAAGTTCATAGAGATCAACTAGTACACATATAAAAATAGACTCGAGAATGATCGAATTCGTTGAACATATTAAATTGTTGAGAATAAAAAAAAGCATTGATTTTTACTACAAAATTCGATTAATCATATACCAAACGTTTATAATGACGCAATACTCACAATGATACCGTAATACGTAAGTTGAGTTTTTGGTTGCCTTTCTTCTCCACTATCAACTCGTATATCATAGCTTGCACTCCATGAACAATTGCTGATTAAATAGGATACTTCCAAGGCAACGTCAATTTTACTGCTAGCTACGTGAACAGTAATAGTCACTTCACGCTGTTCTATGCGTCGATTAGTCGTTACTTGTGAACCATGCTCATTTATTTTGACGGTTAGTGCATTACGTCGACTATTTAATTCTGTCAATTGTCGCTGTTCTTGAGTTGTTTCTTTATCTATTTTGCTAAGCATTTTGTGATAAAAGTTAAGAAATTGTTCCATTATTTCAAAGTCACTTGCACTCAAAGGCCCTTCTTGATTTATCAGTTTTGATGCTCTTCCATCGAGCCATGTTCGTTGTTTTTTAAGTCGATCAAGTTCTTGAGTATGTTCATCGATATCTGCTTGAACAACATCTAATTGTGCTTGTAATTGATCGAGTGGTGTTGTATCGGATAATGATGCCGATGGATCTTCATAACGTGTTTGATAAGATACTTCAAGAATAGTGCATGCTTTGCCTGTTCCACCGCTAACATGAAATGAAGTTAGATCGACACAAGGTGATAAACCTTGGAGAACTAGATCATATGTGCCTTCATTAGCGAAATGATATCGAACAAGACGTGTCAATTCTGCACGATCATTGTACACAGTTACATACTGAACTGGGCAATCTTGTTTCACATTAATGGGAACGATTGTGGTAGATGGTGGTGTATTCGTTGTCAATATTGTTTCTGTCATTTGTTTCTTTTTTTTTTATAAAAATTCTCTATGCGTTTGACATCAATATTTGCTTCTAAAATAAAAATAGACAGCACGCTTAAAAATGTGGTAGTCATTGATCTGTTCGTAGTTGCTGTCGTCGTGGCGTATGAATCAATGTTGAAAAACAGAATGAGTCAACATTGAAGGCCACGTATCATATAAGAAACAGAACGGCAAAATAACATATTCAATGAATCATTAGCAAAAAAAGGGGTGAACGCAAGAGTGATGATTCATTTGCACAAACTCATTGGTGTCGGTAACAACTGTTGACATCCATAGACAGCGTTTTTTAGCTACACTTTTCATTCGCTGGTGCGAACGGGTTTAGATGTCGAAGAAATAAAGAACGATACAACATCCTTAACCACATTCACACCCATCTAGGGTGAAATTTTTAGAAGATTGAACTCCAAAGAAAAGTGCCTTTTAAAAACTGGTTTTCTAGAGATTCTCTCATGTCTTCAAAACAAAAACTGCCGTTTTTCATCATGTCATGATTATCAAACAAAGAATTTGTGCTACTTAGTATTGATTCTGAACTTCGCATTCAATTTTTAAAAAAATTCGTACTGTGTCAAGTGCTAACAGCGAGCAAACTCTATTTTTTGTAAAGGCTAAACATATTCAGAAAAAAATATTTATACAGGGATTTTAGAGCATGATTTGTCCTCGACAAATTGCACTATTCAATTTTCAAAAAATAATGTTTGAATTCTCAGTATTTTTAAAGGGAAACACTTAGGGATAACTTTTGTCTTTTTTGTGTTAAGTCGTGTACACTAGGTTTTTCAATTATGACTCATCTGAAAAAATTGGTTCTAGGGTTGTGTTTCTATAGAGTACTTCATGTAACTCTCAACACAAATTTACTTCATAAAACATGATCTCTTGAGAAGTTCTCAGTCAAGAGATATAGGTGTTTTGATTCCGTGAAGTCATGTCGTTACCTGGAAGTATAAAAACATGGAGCATGCTGAGCGATATTAGGACACTATTATAGACTTAAATAATATATCTAAAACACATAATAACGTTGGTTATGAAGAGAATTCAATATACAAGGATACAAAATACAGAGTGTTTTTATTTTCTGTTCAAATTTCACAGAAGTTGAGTCTGCAGAGATTCTAAATAACAAAGAGAAACTCATGTGTTAATATTGTCTTTGATAGACAACATTTAATTTTTTTATTAGTAATGAAAAAATAAAAATAAAACAAAAAACTTAATCTTTTCGATCCCGAGAAAAGATGAACGGAGTTCTCATTAAAGAATGTCAATTTTTTCTGTTAGAATAATTTATTAATATTGATTTGAGAGTAGATGTGTTCTAAATCGAGATATGTTCGTACTTTTTATAAGCTAATTCAGTTTTATAAAAAAATAAGCAAAGATCTGTTATTATCAAAATTAATTCATCGGGTATAGAATATCATTGGAATAATTTGTAGATTCGAAGATAATATCGTGAAATTCAATAGAGAAAATAGAATATGTATTTCGATTGCGTTACCAATAATATTTATCTTTGTAGCGATCCGATTCGTGTTTAAACATTGTTGTTGCTTCTTTCGTAAGGAGTTTATGCCTTAGATTTTATTGATGATTATAAAAAAGAAAATATCGACTCAAGCTAATAAAATTTGTTCTCAATCTATCAAAAAACCAGTAGTGGCGTGACCGGCAGAGGGAAGAAGCTTGAAGGAGAGTACCTCTCTCTTGGTTTGAAAAGCTTCTGATAAACTTTCTCCAATTTAGAGACTAGTTTGGGCTATATCATTCTACAATTTTGTAAAGAATTTATGTAATGGAACCATTTCATCTATGGAATAGCGATTGAAATTAGGGTATGGCTGGATGTATGTCTGGTTGGGGCGAAGACTCAGACCTACATTCACACCCACATCCGCACTCAATTAACACATGGCAAGGGAGACATTATCATCTTCAGAGTTAAAGATTTCAAATCTATCCAAAGTCTAAAAAGTCATGCACGACAAACAATGCTACGCAACCGAAATTCACAAGAAAAAGCAAAGTATTATTAATTGTAATTCTCGATTTATTCACAGATCTAACATATGAGTAAAATTGTTGGTCATCATCTCGATTGACTCTAGTTCAAAACCTTGTTCACAAGGAACTTTGGAGTTCCCATTTTTNGCAACAATAATATTTAAACACGATATGGATCGTTAAGGGTGTAGGTGGGTGTGGGTAAGTGGGTGTGGTTGTGGTTGTGGGTGTAGGTGTGGGTGTGGGTGGGTGTGGGTGTGGGTGTGGGTGTGGGTGTGGGTGTGGGTTGTGGTGTGTGAATTTGTGTGGGTGTGGGGTGTAGGTGTGTCTTCTGCCGCATCAAGACCGGCACCTTCACACTACCCACACCCCACATCCACATTCACACCCCACACACACCCACACCCTTAACGATCCATATCGTGTTTAAATATTATTGTTGCTTTTTTTCTTGTGTGGTCTATGTCTTAGAGTTTATTGATAATTATCAAAAAGAAAATATCGACTCAAGTTAATAAGATTTCTGTTATCAATTTACCAAAATCAGTGGTAGCACGATCAGCAGCGGAGACGAAGGTTTGAAGGATAGTAATCCTGCCCTGGTTTGAAAAGCTTCTGATCAACTTTCTGCAATTTTGAGGAAATTTGACCTATTTCTTTCTTGGATTTCCGGAAGAATTTAGGTAATGAGACTATTTCATCTATGTCATAGCAATTGAAATTAAGATATGTGTAAGTGTGAGTTTGGATGAAGTAAATCTCCAAATCCACATCCAGTTGCCGTAAAGCAAAAGTTGAGATTACAGATTGAATTTGTTTTCTTCCACGAGAGCCAGGTCAGTCTATTTTTCGACTAAAAGACTAAAATTAAATAGAACTAAATACAAAAAAAACAATTCTTTTTTCGCATTTATTCGTATAGTTGGCCTTCTTTTTCATTTTGATATTTTGACATGCATGCCATACATACAATCTAAATATGTGAAGCAATATTATCTTCTTGCGAGGTCGAAATGTCTGTCATGGTCTGTAATTGAAGATCGACAAACCAAATTTCAAGGGAGAAATTGCTATGTTCAGACTTTACGATTTCAAATCTATCCAAAACCTGAAACCTCATTCAAGATAAACAATGCTATGTGACAACATTTCACAAGAAAGCGCACAATATTACAAATTGTACACGAGCAACTATATAAATATCACCATATGAGTGAAATTCTAGATTTATTCATAGGTCTAACATAGGAGTCAAACCTCTAGTCATCGTTTTGATTGACTCTATTTCGAAATCTTGTTCATAAAGATCTTTGCTCTTCGCATTTGTTTTTCTTCCGATAATTATCATACAGTTGCATTTACAATGAAGTTTTGTTCAATCTTTTGAATGTGAATCTAGTTGAATTGATTTTGAAAATAATTTGCGAGTATGGATGAAGATGAGCATGAACTCACACTCAACTTCCCCATTCAGTCTTCAGTCGAACTGGGTCAACAAAGAAAGAAGTTTTTCAAAAATATAGTTCGATTATTGGATACAAAGGAAAGATAATGATACTTATTGTCAAACTTATTCATGGCAATTGATGAATTTCATTTTTTAGAACAGTAAAACTATATAAAACATAATCATACGATTAACAAATATGGAATATCTATCTTGGAAAAAGTTAATCAATATACGAGGTCGATTTATATTCAATGTCCTGTTTGCTTTTGTTTTATACAATTAAATTTTTACGATAAATGAAAGCAACAATAAAAAATAAAAATTAAAAAGTTAACTTCATGGTGAGTTATTCTTCAGATTGTGATACACATCGATAATAAACTGATCCTGTTGATGGAATTTTCTTTGGATCTTCATAAATGTAGATCGTATTGTTTGCCACAAATATATGCTTCTCATCGAATTTCGACAATAAGAAATCATTGCTGGTGCCTTTTGTTGGCACATATTCATAAGATGAATATCGGAGAAGAACATAGGTTCTACCAATAATTAGATCACGTACGGTTACGATACCATTCATCTCGGTTGGACTTTGATTGTAAGCAGGATGTAGATTCGGCTCATCCAAAGCCGAAACAGACAGACGTACAGGTAATGTTACATGATCTTCATCTACAATACCTGTTACAGCAATTCCAAAGTCGATCTAGGAATTTATCAGACAATGATTTGTAATAATTTTTTTTGAAGTAGAAAATAAGAAAAAAGCAATGTAATCGTAGTATTTTAAACGATAAACATTCCAACAGAGTTTACTCACATCGAATGGTATACATCCACCTTCACCACAATATTTTCGACATGTTTTTCTTGTTACTGCTAAATCATTTTCATTCATTTTTCGTTCGATTAGTCTCTGATGATAGAGATTGAAATAGATAAGTACATTATCCGGATCATATTTATTTTCGTCTCTAAATCGAATACCAATTGTTGGCATAATATGATCATAATATTCATCATGCATATAAAGAAGATAGGCAACAAACATTACGGGATAATCTCGTATGATAGATTTCTTTATCCAACAACAATAATCATAAAATTGAGGTTGAGACGAAGTTTTCCAATTCCATTCGTCATAAGTAAAATGAAGAACACTCAAAGTATGAATCGGATCTCGACAATCATCATTAGATAATTTTTGCAGAAGATATTCTCCATTATTGATATCACGAACAAGTTTTTGAGAGATCCAAGCACCATAGTAAAGACCTAACAATGATTAATCATTATCATACGAAATTGAGCAAAATCAAAAAGTAATGTTCAAAGATTTGCAGCTGTTCAAAAGAAACTAAATTCGAATACGAATGAAAATACAGTCAATAGTGATATTTCTTTTACGAAATTCTTTCAGATGATAAAATTAATTTGAAAGGATATAAAAAATGAGCATTACTTGATAACTAAGTACTTAATTACTTAGTATTGTAAAGAATGATCATAAACATACCAAAAGCTTGTATTGCCGTTTCACCACAGTAACCGTTGTTGTTTTCCCATTGTAATCGAGTAGGAATATCGAGTAGAATTGTACGTTGAATGAATATTTCAGACTTTTTGTCTTCTTCAACTGTATTCATTACAAGTTCGCGTTGAAACAAATTATCGAAGATTGTATATGAAAATTAGATAAGTGAAGCCATATGCATTGCATAAGAAAAAGATAACGTATTGTAATTGTACCATATGCCATTAGCACTTCTCCATCTATGGAAATGCCTCCAGAGAGAAGCCTGTAAAATGTTGCTTGTTCCATATCGCAAGGTAGATACAAAAGATTAGTTACGCGGACAATTTTTGTTTTTTTTTATTCTTGAGTAATTGCATTCAACTTTCAAATTTGATTTGTGTGACAGATTTGGACGTATTGAGCGGGATGTACAGAAAAGAAACTGTCATAACTAAATGTTTCTTTATTGACATAATGAATTTTCAAGTGTACTCCATCTTTGTGAGATGTCGTTCATATGTGACTGTTTTTCAAATGTTTAATATCTGAAGGGAGGAACATTCTTTTTAGCTAAAACTTTTAGGATATTCCAAAAGGTCATTAAATCTATCTATGTGCGAAATTTCAAGTCGAAAATTTCGACTCGAAATTCTTTCATCTGATTATTCGGTTACTATCCAGGAATGAGTCGAAAATCTTGTTAGTGCAACTCCTTCAAGACTGAAATATGGAACTCACATATCTTCTTTAGCTTGACTAAACTAATACACAATATTCTTTTTTTTTTCCAGCGCTCTTTTTTTTGTTTGCATTGTTACTATTCGATTTTTATCTTCCAGTGTCACATTCCAATTTTCTTAACTCATCGTGGCGAATGGGTTAAAATGTGCGTTATGCTATTTGATATCGAACATAAAAAAGAAAGAAAAAAAAATGATTCAATCTAGCGCTAAAGGAGCACTCCATGTGCAGGGAAAAAGAACAGAATAATAAGAAAAAGAAAAAAAAACAATAACAAAATATAAAAAAAGAAGCATGATTTATTGTGCAGCGCATTTATAATTTTTATTTCATTGTTCAAATGTCATATTGAAAAAATATTGAGAGGTTTAATTCAAAGCTAAATAACTTTAGATATGTTAAAGAATTGCATTTGATA